ATGACTTTTTTTGCTTTTGATTTTTTTTTACCCAGATTTTCTTTGTGCTATATTTTCTTCCTTTTATGTTTTTTTTTTGGGGGGGGTGGGCAGAATTGGTAGTTGGAGTATCTATTTCATCTTAAAAGCAAAACTATAATTATTTTGAATGGTAACTGGATCTTTAGGTTTGAAGTATTCATGTTTTTTTTACCATGTATCCTATCAAAATAGATATATGCTCATTTATATCAAGAACAATTTTATCTAATTTTTTGAGCTTAGGCAAAAATTTATTGAAGAGTATATTAAATTATTCCATTTAGTAAGGCAAAAACCTTTAACAATTATGAATTGCAAAATAAATTGTAAATATAGTTAACCAAACATAAATTTTTGTATTACAATCTAATTCCTTACTAATTTTTAGAAACCCCAAACAAAAGAATCAAGGAAATTTTAAGAAATATTCCATATGTACACTTTCCAGTCTCGATTCAACAATTCTCTTATAGATTTAACCAAGCTGCCATGGAATCCCTCCACTGATTGATTGTGTAATGTATTCACTTGGAAGTTTGGAATTTTGATAATTATTAATTAAAATTAATACAAGGCCATCATCATTAATAAATTTCTATTCATCCATGTATGCTTTTACTTTACAAATAAAATATTCGTATTTTATTGATTAAAGTTAGATGGTATTAATTAGATTTTTTAAATTTGAATACTTTTACCGAATATCGAGTTGTATAAACGATTCTGAAAACCTATTTTTGGTAACAGCTATCTCCAGTTACTTTACATTCATAGAACTCTTTTGAAAGCAGAAATCTTTGAAACTACCAAGTGTCGCACTGTTTAAGAATAGATTCACGATTCTCTCATCATTTAAACAATATGTTGTTACTCTTTCGTACACATCTCAATTCTCAAATAGCATTTTATTGGGTTGTATAAACCACAAAGCTCAAGGACCTTGAAATTCGTGCAAGCTGCCACATCCAGGACTTCTAATGTGTTATAATTATTGCACACGTAACGAGAGTACGTGAGGTTTAGCGCTTCTTTGATCTCAACATTTTCGATTTCTTGAGGAGCATGCATATATTGAGGATAGATATCATGATAATCATCATCGATATTCTTCACAAAATCAATCCATTTCAGCTTGTGATGCGATCATAATACTTTAAGAGAATGGAACCCAAAACAATTTATAATTTTCGTAACCTCTTGTTGAGGACAGTTGATGATGAGTTGCTCAAAGTACACATCATCAATTTTATTATACCTCAAATGCAATTCCCTCAATGAAGGAAGATCTATTCCTGCACTAATGGTCAGCAAAAGCTTCAATCTCACTAAAACAAGCTTATGCAGAGATTGACCAGTAAAAACAGTCTTAGGCAATGAGTAATCTGACAAATTACCCTCAGTACAAACCCTCAACACAAATTCTCTGATATGATTGTTTCCATCAAGGTTCTCGCATTGCATCAAATACGGTATGAAATATGAAAACTTGCCACGACATTTAATGTGGAACTTATGAAAATGTAAAGTCTGCTCTCAGGCTTTCACAATAAAGCATCCAGTGGCAATTAGCATTTGTGTGAGCTAATAATTGCAATTCAAATTTCAGAGGTCTTTCAAAAAAAATTGCGGGTCATAATCGGGTCAAGAATGGATTGTAAAGAAAACGGGTAAAACTTCAAGTAAATTGAAGAAAACTCGGGCGCGTGCAACTCACGTGCCAAAAGGGAAGTTAGTATGGATCCTTTCCTTACACGCATGACTTTTTTTGCTTTTGATTTTTTTCCCCAGATTTTCTTTGTGCTATATTTTCTTCCTTTTATGTTTTTTTTTTGGGGGAGGGGGGGGGGAGAGTCTCATTATTTGTGGCAATTACCATAATTGTGAAAAGTATTGATTATGTGATATTTAATCGTGCAATTTTCATCAAATATTCATATTCATCACAATTGTTGTGAATCTTGCATTTTGATTCATTGCATGTTAACGGACATGTTCTCACAAGTTCATTTTCTTATTTTCATAATTAAATCACAGTTTTAATTTTCATGTGGCTAATACCAGGATAACCCATCTAGAAGTTTCTTTGAATCTATTTGAACCAAAATCCTGAGCCTTGAGTTGTTAACTTTCTCTTTTCGGGGGGAGGGGGGGACAGAAGGGATAACATGTCTTTGCCACTCTTGTAAAAAAAAAAACTTCCACTCCTATTTGTTTATGTGAGGTTTTATTTCACATTTGGTTTGAAAGATTTTTGGTCCGAAAGGTTTGGTCTGAAAGGTTATTTCACATTTGGTCTGAAAGTTTTTTTTTAAATATTTCTATGAGATTACATTAATTAGTGGTGAGAAATTGGAATTGTAATATAAGTGGTTCATTGTAATTATTTTGCAAAATATCATGTCTATCACTAAAACACTACATGAATTTTTTTAATAAATGTACAAGGACGTTAATTTCACTTTTCTTCCTCTCACCCCCACTGTATCATTATTGATCTTATGCTTTATACATGCAGTGCACATATATGTCATGTTAGTGGTGTCTATGATTATAGGGCGAACCTTTGTAATGGAAGGCTCTAAATTTCCAATAGCTCACATTCGGTGAATTCACTTTACTGTCTCACTTCTAAATTATGTACCCGAAGAAAACCCCAAATTCATGATTGGGATCGTTCTTATTTTGATTCCATCCATATTTCTACCATCATCCCAATGGCAAGTTCAATTATGTGCAATCAGACATTTCAATCTCCAATATTTGACTATATATGACTTCCATAACAATAATAACAATCTTAATTTTGTAGGATTAATTTTGCAAATTAACTCTGGTCTTCATAAAGTTTTGCTCCCAAATTAATGTACAATCTCTTATAATATCAAGGTATGAAATGTGAAATTAGTCAATAAATTACTTGAACAACCCCACGGCTAAGAGAAAAATCAAAGAGAACACTCAGAGATCAAAGAACACTCAATAGAATGAGTTTCTTCAGTATGCTTTCAAAGGTTGGCGCAACTGTAAAAGGTGCATCCATATGTGTAGCTTGTGTCTTGATGGGTGCTGACTTGGAGGCCTAGCTGTCTAGATCCAACTCAGCTACAAAACGGCATTATTGGAAGAAGATGTTGGGTGTCCAAAGAGAAAAGGCTAACCGCAAGTTTACTAAGCCAGTGGTGCGCATGAGAAGGTTTCTTTCGTTGAGTACAGGAATATATTGGTTGAGGATATGGACGCTTGCAAGGAACATATGAAGGAATATACGGCTACCAAAAAGGAGGAGACGAGGGAGACAACTAAGGAAGAAAAAAGGAAAAAGGTTGAGAAGTCTTGGAATGGGTTTTATAGGTATGAGAGTGATCATAGGGAGAATGTTCTCGACTCACCCTTTGAGTAGATTGAACACAGAGTATCATTAGGGTAGAATAATTGAAATTCTTTTTTGATTTAAATAATTCCAATTCTTTTTCTTTTATGTACTGAAGGACGATGAAAATAAATAATGACATTATTCTTAATTAACTATTGAATACTAAAAAAGGAATATCATCACACGCTCATCACAAGTGAACCATAATAAGTGTTTCTCTACTTGTTATTGTATGTGTTTTGAAATAGTTGTCTAGATTAAATTTTCAATTTTAATATATTTTGTACTTAAAATAATAATTCAAATTGAATAATAATTTTGAGAAGAAATGACTAATATATTTCTTTTATATATGAATTTATCTCGTTAAAAAAGAGATAAAAATTTTGAATTCATATATGTTTATATTTCTTTTTCCAAGCAAAATTGAGAAGAATTAGTCATATTCTCTATCTACAAGAAAAAACAACATATATTGATAAAATGTTTTTGTCTAGGAAAAAAATCAAGTATGACCAAACTAGTTAAAATTTCTCCGGATCAATGCGTTTTCTTTTTGTGCTTTACAATTTTTTTTCTTGTATCAATAGTTACTGTATATTATAAAAAAAACAAAGTGCAAAATATATTTTTATTTAGCTTGACATGTGAATCGAGAGTTGTCCTAGTGGTTTTAGTGGGAGGGGAATTCCTGTGAGACCCATGATCGATTCCTAGGAGACACAAAGCAAAAGGAGGGTATTTTGGGGATAGTTGTAAGGGGTAGATTATGGTTCCAAAAGAAAAAATATGGCTCAATATTAGAAAAAAGATAATGATTTTGTCAAAACAATTATTAGTATCCAAAATAAATTTAAAATAAAAAGACACAATTAACCATCATCACAATTTTTCACCTTTTGCCATCCGACCACAAAACCCTCCCCCCTAATCGAATTTCTTCATACGATGATCAATGAAGAACTTTTAACTTACTTTTGGAATTTGCTTCTTTGTTTCTTATTAAACTTGCTAAAAGCTTCAAATTTGAATAATGGAATTCAATTTTTGGAAATCTAGTTGAGAAAGTTAGAGAGGAGTCAATAGAATTCTATCGTCATTTCGAATTTCCTGTAAAACACATTTAACGGAAATCTGTTTGCATCAAAGGATTTGAGATTAGTGATTATTTTTTCCTGTACAAAGATTCTTAGCTGTGTTTTTTGACCTAAAAATTACAAGAATTTATTTGAATCTCTTTAAAGCTAAAATTATTGGCCTCAATATATAAAAAATGAAACAGGGAAATAATTTTCAAAGAGAAGAAAAAAAAACTATGGTGGCCGACGAGGACAGTTTTTTCTTGAAGGAGGAACCAAAATGACATGAAATCTAATGAAATAATGGTAAGAACCAAGAATTTTTTTTTCTTCTACTTTATCATTTTCACCGGTGCCGACAACTGTGGATTCAAGAAGGGCCGGATAGAGGTGAAAGATTTTGATGTATTGATATTCTTTAAGATTGGGGTAATTGTGTCTTTTTGCTCAAAATTTGTTTTGGATGCCAAAAGCAGAATCATCACCCTTAGAAAAATTCGAAAAATCTAGACGCCATTACCATCTAGATGGAATTCACTTCAGGCACAAATTTATCATTTGTCGAGAAAGTCCCCAACGGCCACCAACGAGAAAGTCACGTGCTAGAATTTGAATTAGAGTTCAAGTGTCACGTGCCTGTCTCCTCCTCCACCTAAATCTGGAAATCCCCAAACAGTAAAATCGAATTAAACCCTCCCTCCCCCGCTTTTCTTCCTGCAACAATTCTCTCTCCGCAAAACCAGTTCGAATTCAACTCTTAGTTGCGTGTGAAATCAAGCAGCCATGGAAGCCATCCTTACCGACTGTGTGCAGAACAGTCTCCGGCACTTCATGTACCGCAACGCCATTTTCATGTGCGAACGCCTCTGCGCTGAGTTCCCCACCGAGGTACCTCCTCTCACACTCGTGTATTTTCCATTTCTAATCTTTTGGTGAAGGAGTTTTTATGTTTTTTTTGTTTAAATTGCTAAATTTGTTTGTTGAAGTTCGATTTTGTGAAGTCTCGTTTTTCTTTAGTAAAATCTCAGGAATAGTGTTTTCCCTCTTCCAGTTTTTCTTTTTGGGTATTAAAGAGAATTTGGAGAGTGGCCGGGGGGATGGAATAGGGCATTGAGGTCGATGGTAGTGGCTCACTTACTTCTAGAGATCTGTTGAAAGATTCAAGTTCCGGGATGGAAATGAGTGTGAAGTTTTGTTGGTTTGGTGAAGGTATATTTGCATTAGTTCTGTGAGTCCCTGTGGGAGAATGTACTTTGCTAGACTGGAGTCAAGCTTTTGTACACGGAGGGAAATTTTGTGGATGTTTGGGGAAAATGGAAATGTGCTCTCAATTAAGGTGTTGTTATACTAATGTCTGCTTTGGGGTTGTTCATTTTTGAGTTTTGAAATGCACATTCTTGTTTTCAATGATATTTTGCATAATATTGATGGGAATTAAATAGGAAAAGTCACAGTATTTAATCTGCTTGAAGGCTGTGAATGTTACTTTGCAAAGTTTGGCTAAATGTATTGCGTCATTTCCTTCTCAACGCTAGTGTTTCGTTTAAACGGTCATCCCCATACTAACATCCTAGCCATATTGCATGTTTATGAGTTTTAACGTCTAAACATAATTGTTCACCTTGGAGTCCTTGGTTGATCATTGGCTTCAATTAGAGAATTCTTTCTAGGAGTGGCCATCGGTCAATGTGCTTTTTGTTATTGTAATGTGTAAAGTTATCAATGTAGACAATATTAGTCTGATTATTTTTGTAAGTCTTTGCTGTGTTTTCATCTATTTCAATATTGTATTGTGCTTTGTTGTAGTTGACTGTATTAGTCTAATTTGTTTAGTAAATATATACAGTGTATTTATCCAGTGAATCTTGTTCGTTGGCTATTTTTCTGGGTCAAAGCTGTATATTTGATTGAAATGGATCACATTGTACCAATACTCTGATGCTTTTCTTTGAAAAAGTAAAAGCCAAGATTCCATCAAATTTTGTACCAATACTCTGAAGCTTTTCTTTGAAAAAGTAAAGCCAAGATTCCATCAAATTTTGCCCTGCCAACCTTGTCTGATGAAAGGTTTGCAGGTCTACCAATTATTGCATTTTGTAATTATCTTGTGTCATTGATTTGGTGTCTTTACACATCCAACTTTTAAGCAGTTTTATCTAGTGTGAAACTTGTAATAGTCTTGAAAAACATGAAAAATAGAAAGATATTATTTGGTGACAGACGTTGGAGCTTAGATAGACGAAATGAAGGTGGGGTTTCTGAGAAGCTAGCTCGACGAAATGGATGTGGGGAAGGTAGATAGGTGAAGATGATGAGCCAAGGATGTGTGTGCAGGCTTTGAACTGTTTCAGGAGTGATAGTTTTAGCGATTTTGGGTGCTATCGTTGGATTTAGAATCATTGGTCAAACTGATTTAGAGTAGGAAAGTATAGGAAGTTTTAATAGGGCATCATTTTTGGAATCATAAATTACTCTTTGATTAATATTGTATCACCCAATTGTCACAAAGGACTGATTCTATTATATTAGATTTATTATTTGGGGGCTGGGGGACAGTGGTAGAAGCTTTGAAGTAATCTTTCCCTAACCAAACTAGTCTCTCATTTATCACCAGTCCCAAATTTTCGACTTTCAGATGTTGCGAAATCATGTAAAACCATTGAAAATTAGCTTTTGTTGTAATCTTAAATGAAATGAACATGAATGTCATTTCAACAACAACAACAATAATAAGTGTTTTTCCCGCTGGCATTAGATTTAACCATTGAAGCCTCTTTTCGTTTCTCTTTGTTCATTTGGCGATTGCTTCATAGATTCCTCAATGTGTAGCTTTGTTTAAGACCATTGGTTTTCCTGGAAGTGATTCTTTTTGTCTTTTGTTTATAGTCTTTTTCTTTGATATTCTCACTCTGATCATCTGTTCTGTCTATTGCAGATCAATTTGCAGTTATTAGCTGTCTGTTACTTGCAAAGTAACCAGGCTTATTCTGCTTATCATATTTTAAAAGGTATAAGTAACAGATCCTTCCGTGTGATGAAGATGATAGTTCTCATGAATATTTTTTTTGCATATTCTGATATAATCAAAGTAACTCATTATGGTTTTTATTTTTTCAATTGTTCATGCTAAATTCTGGTTTAGGACAAAGCATGGCTCAGTCCCGCTACTTGTTTGCACAATCTTGCTTTAAGATGGATCTTCTTAGTGAAGCAGAAAATGCATTGTCCCCACCAAATGAGCCGACTGCGGAGGTTTGCCTATCTGGTTGATTTTCAATTCAGTCCCCTGTTCCTATAAGAAAAGACTCCTATGATTTTGATGTTTACAAATGTCTCCTTGGAGCTGCTTGATTGTGCTTTAAATTGTAGAAGTACCTAGCCTTGAGAATATTGGATTTTTTTGGTAGCCAGATTTTTGAAAAGATTTTCTGGATACATGCATGAGTAATGTGGTTGTTTTTTAGGAATATTGCTGGGTGTATATGAATGTATTGATCAAGATTCTCTATTAACTGAGGGAAGATAGTCCCTCTCTTAGGATTGTTCCCAGAATTCTAAGATACATGGAGATTTCTCTAGCTTGAAATTATTAATCAATTCCATTGTCTTTGTGTTCAGTATACAAATTAGGTAGCGCAGTATTCAGCTTATGCTTAAAAATGTGTGGTTCTTCATGAGATAGATGCACAAAAGTTCCTTCTTGCGTTTTTGTTAGTTTATTGAGTTCTATGGTTTCTGATAGTTAGAGGAAATGTAAATCTAGTTATTGGTCAAATCTCGCGGTAACCAGGAAGCAGGCATATGCATAAACTGTTGGAAAAGTTTGTTTACGGATCTTGAAATTGAGGTGAAGAGGTTGGTAGTAAATACTAACCTTTTCACTTTTTTTACTCATTGTGCCATTTAGCTGATGGTGTTCTTCCATTTCACTGGCAGGTTCCAAATGGTGCAGCTGGTCATTACCTTCTTGGTCTTATTTACAGGTATATCCTAGTTCTTTTTGAGCTTTTGTACACTTGGATGAATGGTTGTGAGAGCTAAATACCACCATTTTGAAAGAGTTCAACCATTGATTTAGTGATTTACTGAATATGTTTAATGATAATTAAAAGTTTTTCTTTGGGCGTTCCATAGATGTCATTACCTTATTTGTAAAACTGTTGGCCTGGACTGTGGGAAGCATTCCCATTACACACTTGTTCCGACAATGATATGCCACAATTCAAGTTACTTATGTTTCAGTTTAGTAGTCACAACCTATGTCGTTCCACTTAAAAAAAAGATGCACTCAATTGGTTGGCAAACAAAAGGAGCAATTGTTTGTATCACGCTTCATATGAATAGCTCATCCTGAGTTCATTTGTTGTACTGTTCAATAAAACCATAAAAATGAGTTTGTACATAGTCAGAATCTATGTTTTTTTATGCAATTTGCCAAAATAAACTTCTGTATACGTGTAATATTAAATCTGGTTAGAAATCTCTGTATAAAATGAGATGATAAAAATGTTCCCCCAAACTTAATAGAATAAAATAGACATTCTTGATAATCTTTTAGGAAAATATTGCTGTACACAAACGAGAGCACCTACCCGTGCTTGAAAATGAAGAGTGATGATTTACTTAGGGTTTTCTCCAATTTATTTGTAATAAATTTTCGTACTGTGTAGATGAGGAAACGAAGACAATAAATGGAATTAGAAGTAATGAGATAACTAAAAAACACTTGCTAATAAAGAGACATGGAGAGAATAAACAGAAAGGGAGCAAACAATTGTTGCTAGTGATGAATGGTTGTCTCATCTTATCACTTAATGTTTGAGCCAAGAATTGCACTTTCTTTTGTTACAAGTCAATGATAGTGCCACTTTAGTTTTTCGGATACACTTAATATTTAACTATGCAAATCACCAACTCAGTTCGTCCATATTTAATAGTTATGAAACAAGAAATACTCACTCCATCCCAAAATATATGTCGCTGGAGGAGTTTCATAAAATTTAAGGAAACAATAAATATTTGGTCCAAATACTATACTACCCTCATTTATTTTCAATATAATTCTATTCCCAATATCATTTAGTTCTAATACACTTTTATTTTAAATACAATTACAATTTCCTATGTAGGGATAATGTTGGAAAAAGTTGACAAAATATGCCTAGGCGAAAACGACATCTATTTTGAAAAAAATTAGTTTACCTCCAACGACATATATTTTGGAATGGAGGGAGTAATTGATTATGTACGTATATCAGTTAAGTTTAGTGCTGAATGAAGTTGTAAAACAGAGGCCAAGTGTGTGTTTGCAGTAGAGTTACAAATTCTTTTGAAGAGTATTAATGCTTTCCTTTTGTCTTCTGATGAAGAATTTCTGTACACTGCATTCAGAAAAAAAGATTCTTCATTCGGTGTATTTGCTCCTGTGAATTCGTAACTGGAAATGTGGCTCATTATATGCATTGGGGTTACACTAATTGGCGACTTGACGATATAGCAACCTTAAAGTTTAGCAGCAATCGCATCTCAAAACTTTTAGTGAAGTCCAGTAATAGATTGTCATGTGCTTGTGATTTAAACATCTAGAAGAATATAGACTCCAGGAAATGATATTTCTGCATTACAGTATGTTCAGAGTACACAGAGTCTACTACATTTATAGGAAAAGGATAGGAGACAAATCCTTTCAATAAAGGATTAGTGATTTTAAATCCCTAACAATCAGGAATAGGATTAGATTTCTCCTATGATGCAGCTTTCCTTATTTATTTTAATCTTATCTACTCTTGACTTCCTTGATTTACTAACAAAACATATATTTCTTTTATGTCACAATACAAATTCTGATTGGTGTTCTGGGCACTTGTATGTCCACGAAGTCAACATAGATCTCATGTATTTAATAGTGTTTTGGTTCTTCTCTTTGCCTTGCAAGAAGAATAAGCCTTTGTCCCACTATGTGGGTCTTCTCTTGGCCTTTGATATTGCAAATTATTCCTTATCGATAATTTGTTTATCACTGCAACACTTTGGTGTTAGGATTCATCTTACCATTATTAACAAGACAAAAATTGTTTTCTACAGCTTTTTGCTGGCCCCAATTTGACTTTGTTCTCTGCTTCCTTCTCTTTTGCTTCATTTTTTATCTTATTCCTTTGTGTTAGCTAAGTAGCAGCATCAGCAACTAGGTGCTTTTTCTGCTTGAATACACCTTGTTAAGTTGGAATTTTATCAACTAAGGGTTCCCTTTTCATTGTAAATTCAGGTATACAGACAGAAGAAAATGTGCTATTCAACATTTCACTCAGGCTTTATCATTGGATCCTCTGCTGTGGGCTGCTTATGAAGAACTCTGCATATTAGGTTTGTATTGGGAAAATTGATAGGTTCAACTTTTGGTTTTCCTTCTTGTCTTTCCACTAAAGGTGTGACAATATTTGTTCCAGTTTATGTTATAAGTGTGTCAACGCGTTGTCTATGTGAGATTGGATCCTAAATTGTAAAAGAATACCCTCTCTGAAAGGTAACTGATTAGGGAAGATGCCAAGAGGAAAGGAAAATGACATTGGTCAATGAACCAAGAGTGGAGTTGAACTTTATAGAAATACCATGTGAAAGAACTTCTAAATCAATGATTTCTCAATCCTCAAAATTCAAATCTGCTGTGTTCTTTTCTCAAATGCATACCTATTGAAAAAAAACCCTTCACTTCTAGGCTTTTGTTTTAGTGTCTTTCAGTTTTTTGTTTCATTCTCCAATGCAAATAACCAAATGATAGAAGATTTCTAAGTCTTGCTAGAATCAGGTCTCATAGATTCAGAGTAATATGAATTTTTTGGTATTTGTTTTTCTTGTTACTAGTTACCCAGATAGTCCACAGACCACATTATATATATTGAAACATTTTGGACTTAGACGTGCTGTTAAGTTTTGAAATTTTTTCATTTATTGACATGCACTATTGAATGTCCTTCATTGACTAAACCTTCAGTGTTGAGGGCTGATCTCTTTATCTTGGGTCACAGTCGTTGCTTGAACCAAGATAACACCTACATCAGCTCTTTCATATGCAACACTCTTCCATGATATGTTCTTGACCATCAGGTGTTAGGGTGATGGATATATGACGTGTTCTTTGTGCACACTGCATCTGAAATTCTGGATCTTATTTTCTGCAGTTAAACCCTACTTTCTTTATGACTACTAAAGTTGATAATAGTTGTAGCAAAGAGGACTTCAGACCCGAAACCTTGATGAATATGCTTTAAATGAAAACAGGCAAATTCTGAAATTTAATAACTAGCAAGTGATTGTTATTAAGTCACTGCATGCAGGAGTTTGATCTATTGTTTTGAGGTTTTAATGACTTTTAGGTTTACGTTCAGGCATGAGTGTGTGTGTGTGTGTGTGTTGCGCGCGCGTGCGCGTGTGCATGTTTGCAATGTAGGCTATTCTCAAAATTGAGCGTTGATGGAATATCTAGTCTAGAAAAGTGAATGGTGAACAATAATCTAATTTAGTGTACCTTTGGAGTCTGAAGAGTTGAGTTTTGCGATTGTACTCTAATATCAGAGATTAAGTGAAATTAAATAATTTTGAAACGGTTGCCTTGTTCACAATAATTTAAGCAGTGCCTAAAAGGTTATCTGGTGCGTCATCTAAGTGTTCCAGGAGTGACTCCTAGATTTTCTCAGTTCTATCTTTAAATCTGCAGCAATATCTTCCTTAAGCCAGCCAGGGAGTTTCTTAGATCTGTTTAGGTTGAACACATGTTTGTGCGTCATCATTTTGCCATTTGTCGGGTTTGTGTCCAAATTGCATTGTTTCTCAGCTTAGACTGTTATTGTCTACTATTATTTGTGGCAAAATGCCTGAGTAACTGGATTATTCGGCTAAAATAATTGTTTTTGTTCAATTGGCTCTCTTCCTCTTTCTCAATATTACACGCTTTTAGCTGTACCAGTATTGTGTTGGCGACTTTGCTTGTTCATTATGCAAAGTTGTGCTTGTAGTTAAAGCTTTAGTTTGAACCATGACATGTTATGTTGCAGGAGCCGCGGAAGAGGCTACCAAAGTTTTTGGTGATGCTGCTTCTGTTTGCATTAAAAAGCAACATGTACCCCACGAATCAGCATTGAAAAGTTTGCAATCGTCTAGCGAGAATCACTGTGTAAATGTGAGTAAGAATTTTGGTTCAGAAGATGCGAGTCCAAGGCATGGCAAACTCATGCACAGCAATACTCAACGGGACACGTCTGCTAACTATCATGGTCTACCTCAAGCTGGAGGAACTGGGAGCCAGGCTCTAAATGGTGGTCCTAATTCTGCTTCTTTCTATAACACTCCTTCTCCAATGGCCACGACAACACAGGTTTGTGCATCAGCTAATCAATAGTGTATCTTGCCATGGAATGCATCAGCTATTCATTTTGGAAGTTCTATTGTACCCATAGTTACACGTTAAAACCTTATTTTGGATTAGATTCCCGCTTACACCTGTATCTGATGCAGACGAGTGTATTGTATTTTCAAGATGAATAGATCTTAGAAACTTTCCAAGGATGAATTCAGAAAAGTAGAATTTAAGATTATCATTGCTGAAATTTGTGATAAAAAAAAAAAACAACGAAAAAGGAGACTTGAGGTGCTATAAAAATCACTCCAAGAACATCACACTCGAGGAAAAGTTGCATAACAGAACCATCGAGCACATTAGGATCACCCACTAAATCTAATGGAGATTTGGATTCCGCTATTTCCAAAAGTTTATGCTTTTGTAAATTGACCTTAAAAATCAAAAGTTGAATGGAATCACTATGCAGAAAGTCCCGTTGTGCAGCAAATATGTTAGAACTAAGAAGTAGAGATTACTAAGCAGAGGAGAAGCGGAAATCTTCTGTTTAATAGTCCTTGATTAATGACATGAGTGAATATGAGGAATCTTAATTTGGATATGCCTGAGTTGTATTTGTCTATATTACCTTTCTTGTTGTGCATTCTTTCTAATTGTTATTTAGCTTCTTAATATCGCGCAGTTGTCTGGTGTTGCTCCGCCACCTCTATGTAGGAATTTGCCAATAAATGGTCCCAACCACTATGCATTTGGTGCTGATAGTTCTCCAAGATCAACTTTAAACACAACATTACAGGCCCCTAGAAGAAAATTTGTTGATGAAGGAAAGCTAAGAAAGGTAAGAAAGGTGAAGTTTGTCCCTTTTGAAACTCTTGTTCTTTAATTATTGGATGCTTGTCTCTTATTAGTTGATTCTTTTGTGCTGATTAGTGTTGCTTCTGTATGGTTTACTGTAGCCCATCATGCTGTTGTGGCTTGATAATTATGTCTTCCAAACTGTCTATTTGACAATTTGATTTAAGTGGAGTAAACCTGAAAAGAGTATTTTTCATGGGATCTTACATCGAGGTCACATGCATGTCATAATTTCTCTACATAAATCTTTGATCAAGCGTGAAAAGCATTTTCTTTTCTTTTTTTTCCTTTTTTTGTTTTTGATGTGAAGAACATAGAGTGTAATCCTGAATGTTATTTTCCAGGGCCACATTTACCTGGCCTCATCTTGTGCTCCTCTCCTGCTTGTTTGGGTGGATACTTATTTGTTAGCATCCTCTAGAAATTCTATTATACCATTTGTCAAATGCTTGATAAATTGAATTCAATATGCTTTCATAGGTATCGGGCAGGTTATTTACTGATTCTGGTCCTCGGCGGAGCACAAGACTTGCCTCTGAAGCCATGGCCAACTTGAATTCAAGTGCGTCAACAGTATCAGGGAATGGAACAAATAACGCATCGAAATATCTTGCTGGCTCTAAGTTGAGCACTGGATCTTTGCGTACTGCCGGGGGTCGAAAAGGACCATCTTGGGCCAATGAAAATTTTGATGAAGGTTGGTCTAAATGCTACTATCAACTAGTGCGGTTGTTGGAATGAATCATGCTAGTGAATTCACATATTTTGTTAAGTGCCAACTCCAAAAGAACTGGTAATATGACTATAGGAACATCTAGCTTCTTTGCCCATTCCAGGTGGCTTGGAAGATATTTTTGACGGAGACAGGGTTTTATTTTGACTTTTGATTACAATTTTAATAATTCTAGTGAAATGTAAGGGCTAGCTGTAGGGATCTTCACTCTTTCACTCTTTCACTAACATTAAGTTGCAATTCATGCTTGTCTTTATGTACAACTGCAATATGAGTTGTTGTATCATAAATTTAAACTTCCCACAAACTCTGATTAAGAAAATACTTTAGGTGGACTTCAATTTGGTTTTTTAATACTCCCTCTGTAGTACAAATTGCAAAACTCAATGTGGACTATTTTTTGGGGACAGAGGTGATACAATTATTATGCTTTCTTTCTTTTTGTTTGATTGTGGTTGTACGATTAATTTTGTTTCTTCTTACTTCAATAACAGCTTATTATCCATGTTCTTGCAAAATTGATATTCCACTTGTTAAGTAGTTAGTTTATATCACAGAGCAATATGTACATGATCACAAACTGTTCACTGGATATGATTGCTTAGTTTGAGTTGAAATCGTAACTTAATCCGGATCCAAGTTGCAACAATTAACATATGATGTGAGAATGAGATGATTATTTCCTTGACAGTTATTTATGCTCATCCTTCTCTGTATTCAAGGTGCTAAACACTGTAATTGATCTTTTCAGGGACTAAGCATGATGTCTGTGATGATTCTCGTAACAATAGTACTGCCTCTTCATCCCCCTCTAGTGAATCTAGATCTTCGGAACAGGAAGGGCCAACAATGTCTGCAGGCGGGGTTTGTCTAAGTGCATCGAAGATTTCAGGTGGTGCTTTAGAGTTGTTGTCACTTTTGCGGATTCTTGGAGAAGGTTACAGACTCTTCTGTGTTTATAGGTGTCAGGTATGGAACTATCAGCCTAATGAAATAATATTCATCCGGAAGTTCTTTTCGTCATATTTAGCTTTATGAATGTTCTTGCTTGGACAGGATGCATTGGATATGTATTTGAAGCTTCCTCAAAAACAATATAATACCGGCTGGGTACTATCGCAGGTAATTTCTAAAGCCTGGGTTTCTTTCTTTTAATTTTTCACTTGTGAACATATTACTTTATAGAACCATTAAGCTTTACATATGAACACCTTGCATTCTGTTGTTGCAATGGCTATTTGTGCAGGTTGGAAAAGCGTACTTTGAAATGGTTGATTATGTTGAAGCAGATCGTGCTTTTAGTCTAGCTCGTCTCGCCTCCCCTCATAGTTTAGAGGGAATGGACATCTATTCTACTGTTCTTTATGTGAGTGTTATACTTTATTTCCAAAATCTATTCTTTGTAAGATCTGCATGACAGTTGATGGGTATGTAAAAGAGTTCTGGCTCCTTGATGTATTTGTTCGCCATGGATAGCCCTTCCTCGAAAGTTTTCTAAAGTATTGTCTTATGTTGCTGTTGGCCTGTTCACATATTTTCTACTGCAAGACTTTGTCCATTCTTTCTCCGGCAGCTTTTGTAAATATTTGGTAGCTTAAAGAGTATTCTTTCATTAGTTAATTTCAAATGTTTGTTATCTTTATCTGAACCCAAGTATTCTTTGGAGGTAATCTGGGGAAAAAATCATTGTCCCTAGGTTTCCTACAGTAAAGAGAGTTTTTCTGAACTAGCTTTGTCTGAACTTTCGTGCTAATTTTGTTTCAGCATCTGAAGGAGGACATGAAGTTGAGTTATCTCGCGCAAGAGCTGATATCAACTGACCGCTTGGCTCCTCAATCATGGTATTGGAGCTAGATTTCATAGTGTCCCTCTGTATTGGGTTTTGATGATAAACCTATAGTATGTGATGCATCTTTTTCTAATCTACTTGTGGACATTTAAGCATTCCTCCACTTTTGACTCTTTTGAACTACGAAAAAGGACTTGCACCACTTTTCACAAATATGTATGTGCATATGCATCGTGTGTATCCCAGTCGAGACTATCTCTCTTGTTTAATCACATCTGAATGGTTAACTTATCAAGGTTTTAAAATATGCTCCTGACTTCTGATGTATTGAAGAGAATGTGTGCCGAGAATGTACAGTTTAACTTCTGGTTAGAACATAAATATCGGTTTAAAACCTCGATTTGGTTTCTTTTCAAACAAAAAGTAAATGATGCATTGCTTTTGTGGAGAACCTGTACTTTTATCGTGGTCTTTTCAAAATTTGTTTATTTTTATTTTTTAGGAATGGTTCTTTGTACTGATTTGTCTTTAGTTGAACAAACATGACCTAAATCAATCATATTAAGATTGCCAAGATCTCTTTCGTATAATATATTGTATATTTTCTCATGTGTATACTCATGACAGGTGTGCTCTGGGGAATTGCTATAGCTTGCAGAAAGATCATGAAATAGCACTAAAGAATTTCCAGCGAGCGGTGCAGCTAGATTCAAGATTTGCTTATGCTCACACTCTTTGTGGTCACGAGTATGGCTCATTTTCTTCTCCTTGAGGATGATCTTTGATTTATGATTGGTGCTCGTCTTATTTCCGGTCTATTAGAGCATGAAATGTGTTTGTTGTCGCTTTTGCTCCATTGAGTTTCTTCTCTTTGTGGACAGATATGTGGCTCTGGAGGATTTCGAGAATGGTATAAGGAGTTATCAACGTGCTCTTCATGTTGATAGCAGACATTATAATGCGTGGTATGGTCTTGGAATGGTCTACCTTCGGCAAGAGAAGTTTGAATTCTCTGAGCATCACTTCCGAATGGCATTTGAAATCAATCCTCGTTCTTCTGTCATAATGTCATACCTGGGGACAGCTTTACATGCCTTAAAGGTTAGAACAACTACCGAGTATAAGTTTTCGTTGTTTTGTGATTACTGAAACTTCACCATAGGCTATGTCTCAAATTTAGCAGAGAAATAAGGAAGCTTTGGAGATTATGGAGAAAGCTATAAAAGCTGATACGAAAAATCCTCTTCCACTGTATCAAAAAGCTAATATCCTTATCAGCATGGAGAAATTGGAAGAGGCTCTTGAAGTATTGGAGGTGCTTAAGGAGTATGTGCCTCGGGAGAGTAGTGTCTACGCATTAATGGGTAGGATATACAAAAGGCGCCAAATGTATGACAAGGCAATGCTTCATTTCGGACTTGCATTGGATATGAAACCATCTGCGACAGATGTTGCTACTATTAAGGTGATATGTTAACCCGAGTTACCTTCTTTTACCTTTTCTGCATTGTTCATGCAAGTGTGGATTGATCACATTTTCTTTTACCTTTTTATGGTTGGATTCATTTTCATGAACTGAACATTAAACAGCATTGGCGCTTCTATCATTGCCTGACTTGATCTCTCCGTAATTTGTTTGTCAGGCGGCCATTGAGAAGTTGCGTGTACCAGATGAGTTAGCAGATGACTTATGATGTTACGTCTTGTAGAAAGAACTGATACGTCACACGGTCCCCAGTATCAGCATGAGCAGCTGATCCCACCACCCCTGCTTGTGCTGTCGATGTAATGCTTGACTATCAATGCAGTGTCACATAAGCCCTTATTACCCTGTCAATATCTTGTGATGAGCAAACCGCGGCCTTTGTACTCAGTTTTGTAGGTTTTTTCGGTAACCCTTTACTTTGTAGATGAAGAAATGATGTATATTATCCACAGATCAAGTATTCTTCCGACCTGAATCAGCACTTGTAACAATGTCAAAATTACTTGTATCAATAGCTTCGCTAATTTGATCCTCTAAATATCTTCTTCTGCCTTAGTGTTTAAGTTGTTTCGAAATGCATCTGCATCAATATACACTGAGAGTATGATTGAATGGCTTAACCAGCTAAATACTTGCACCAGGGTAGTCAGGAGTCGGGACTGAGGTGCCCTTAGAATATAGCCTTTGGTGCTGTCTTATTGAATAAGTTGACATCGAATAATCAATCAGGAGTTTATGAGATTCTATCAACGTTGGATTTGTTGTTTGTTTAATGTTCTCAAGTGCTGCTCAATGTTCTCAAGTGCTGCTCACGAGTACATAAAACTGTAGTTGGTGCACATTCTCAGGGCCTATGCAAGTTCTTTCCCGTAAAGAATAGTATATCGACACCATCCATTTTTGCAAACAAATCAAGTTCAGATTATGTGGGACTTTTTTTTTTGTTTTTTTGTTTTTTTTTTTTTCTGTTTTTGGATTCCGCCCATGGGCTCGAATTACAACCACCACCAGGATCATGAGTACTCTCTTTATTTCTAAATAATCACCATATTTTATGTATATCCTGCTTTCCAAAAATAATTTATTCAGTTTGTTCCAAATTATGTTTCAAATTTATTTTGGGACGAAAATAGTGCCACATTAGTCCTGCACATCAGGCCGATTGGAAATGAGCTTTGGAATGTAAATGAGCATGGAAATTGTTTGAGCCTAATGGTTCCTGAACAGCCCAATTGGAGGATAATAATGTCAAACGATGGCCAATAGGCAATTGGCCAGCTGAGTTCCTAGCGTATTCGAAGTTCATGGTTCTAGAACAGCAAGCAGTTCGTACGTCCATACTCCACAGTTTCAGTCTAAGCAAATACTCCGTATGAACTGGAACTTTTTAGCTTTTCCATGAAATTACACAAGTCAAAAGGAGCATTATAACATCTAAGCTTGCAATTCTCATGTACAAACAGGCAGTTAGTGAGGCATCCTTCTTGTTATTACGAAACCACAGTACATAAGATAAAGGGGTGATTCAAAGGACATCAGAAGCTCAGAGATAGGTAGCTAGTTCCTGTGCTGTTTGCACTTTCATCTTCATCTGGACTAATCTCGAACTCAAGATTAACTTTCTTTGAGGTCTCTGGTGTTAAAAACCGTCCCGTCATTGGATCAATTGGATGCATTTCCCTTGGTCCTCCTTTCCGTCCCATTGCAGTCATTAATGGAGGGGGTAACAACCCTGATCTGAAAAGAAGACGCTGAACCGGGTCTGAAGGCTGTGCACCGACAGATAGCCAATACCTGGAGAACAAGGAAATTTTTTAGCCTGGAAGATTTTAGTTGACGATTGACAGAACTAAATGGTGGTTATATGCCAAACAACCAGATAATCCAAAGAAAGGCATTGCAAAATGGCCATAGAAATAAAGGTTTAAGAGAAGATATGACAAACACGTCTCTGATGGTTAGTGCTGGAGTAGAGAAACGCCACTTAAACAAATCGATTTGATTGCAGGTTGATTAGACCAATGGTTCTGACGCTTGGAAGTGTCTGTGGGTGAGTGTTATTACCTATGCTTTATTTCTTAGTACTTTCTTTGTACAAATAGATGAGGAAACAGACTATTCTTCACTGTTTTGGTAGTTCCCATTATCTAACGGGTCGCAGAAAGTGAACATTTTTTTTGTTTCTGGGTAAACAGGCAACTGAGAGGATTTATATTTGCAAAGAACTTTAGAGAGCCAGTTCAACTTTATAAAAACTATGGAGCCAATAAAGAGAAAGAACTACAGCAAAGAAAAGAGATTATAATGTGGATTTTTGTACAAATCAGAACAGAAAACCTATGTCAGCTGGGACACCTCTAACAGGAAAAGTACACAAAACACAACATATTGGAGATTTAAAATTAATAATTGTATTGGATGTGTACTTAAACAACATTGAAAACCTTATGTCACATAGTAGTTGCTCTAGAGGAATGTAACTTTCTCTTATCACCTAGTTATTTGCCCTTCGAATTTTTTGGTACGTTTCTTCCTAGAGTGAAATAAAGATACCAAATCTCTTCTATACAGCTTTCACATTGGGCTAATAAGATTGTCAACATGAACAATTTACATCTTAGCACAAGAATGAATTGTCCTTATATTCACACTAAAGCCAAGCTCAGTGTCCCTGCAAGATTTTGGAATATGTTTACCAGGATTCCAATGTACACTTTTATTCATTATCAAGCTCCTCTAATTTTATCTGATTATTCAATAATTGGAAAGGAATGTGATTTCGACATTGAACTCTTCAAACCAATTCCAAAACAGACAGGGTAACAACACAAAAACATTTATCGGGAAGCGCAACAAACAAAAGGAACAACACGATGAATCACAACAATTGTAAAATGAAACAGCACAAGATGTCATTAAGGGATAGCACAAACCATCTATCTAAGCTGCAAATGTCAAATGCCTAACAGAAATAGTATAGGCAGGAGTAACTGTACCACCAGAAAAGCCAGGATCAAAGTAAAATATGATCATTTAAACAAAAAAAAAAAAACAGACAACGTGATGATTGTTTAGAGAAATTACAGGAGTCACTTACTTCACTCTGTCAACCTTAAGCCCCATCTGCTTTTGCTCATCCTTACCTGCATTTAGGCATCTGCTATTAACACATGCAACATCAAACTAAAGCAACAGGCTACTGAAAAATCCAAAACTAAAAACACCAGAAAATATTACTTTTAGGCAATTCACAAAACGTAATGCCCCTTAATAGTAAATATGTAAACAACTCATCAACCAAATTCTGCCAGGACGAAAGACGATTCAAACAAGATTCAAACTTTCAAACGGGTTTATCCCACAGCCGTGGATAAGAAGAGTTTTTCTCCCCAAAGCAACAATCAGAATAAAAAACAACGAAAGCTTCAGAGTTCGCATTGATAAACGATTATTACGCATGAAAATATTCTTTTGGTGCAGAATTATAAGCTGTAGAAAAACATGGGTAAAGAGGGACCATTATTATTGACCTGGAAGAGGGTTGTAAAAGCCCAGAACTTCCAAATGCTTGCCGTCACGAAGAGATTTGCTATCGGCGGCCGTTACCCGGTAGAAGGGCCGGTTTCTACACCCACATCTTGACAACCTTAGCTTCACCGCCATTTTTCTTCCTCCAATTCTGTTCGTTGGTCGCCGGTAAAAAGTAAAACCGTGCCCGATTTCTGGCTTAAAACACTGAGGCCGGAGAGTAGGAGACGAGGGATTTAGTTAAGAGATTCTAAAGGGAGTGTTGGTTCTTCATCAGGAATTGGAGTAGAATTGAGATGAAAATTCGAAATAGCGTCACCGTTTGAGGTTAGGGGGAAATGGGGTTTTCCTTCTTTTATTAGAGGGTTTCTTTCTCCTCGGTCTTCCAAGTTCCAACTGAAATTTTGGCCGGGAGTTAGTTTTTTAACGTCAGAAGATGTGATTGAGATGTGATTTTGATTGTTGTGATTTAAAATCCCATTTCCTTTTAGTTTTTGTTTTGGTTTTTGATTTGAGTTTGAGACGTGATTTAAAATGTGATTTGAGATAAAATTTAAAAAATTGTTTGAATAATATTTTAAATAAACTAATAATATTTTTAGACCACTTCTACTACTGTCGCCGACCGGCAATCGTCCGACTAGATTCCAGCCAAATTCTGGCACTGAACCATCTCCATCATCGCCGCTGCCGTCGGACGGCCTCCGGAATTTGGCCGGAATCCGGCCGGCAGCGACGGTCTGGCAACGGTAGCGGGCGGTCTGTTGGCGGCGGGTGGTGGTAGAGGTTGTTGGTGGTGGTGGATGAAAATTGTGCAAAAATAATTTTTTGAATATTTTTTAAAAGGTAAATTAAAAAATTATTTAGATAATATTGGGATTTGTGTTTTAGAGCTGTTTTAAGAAATAAAATAAGACAAAAAATACAAAATAAAAAGTTGGCCAAACAAGTCATAATCTATTTTTTATTCAATGGCGAAAGCATGAAAAATAGAGAAATTATTCAGTGCAGCTACTGTACCATGTAGGATTATGCAGCCAGTCACAATAAATGGAGTAAATAGGGGAGAGAGAAAACTTCTACGAGAATTATAGCACCAAAATAGGATATGCTAATACTTGCTACACTAAAAATTAGGATACAACAGTTGTACTCAATAATTTTTCTAAACAGCAATGTAATTTAAAAATTTTTTAACTCAATTTTCCAAACAAAAAAAAAAAATTAAAATTATTGTATGTTAAGATTATATGTACTACTTTTTGAGACAGAGATACAGGACAATCTACAAGAGTGTATATATATATATATATATATATATATATATATATATATTTATTTATTTTTTCGTTCACTCAACCGTTTCGTCAAGGCTTATAATATATTTATCAACACAATGCATACATACATATTTGCAACGGATGCGGTCTCATTTCAATTTGCACTTCCTTCGATTTGTCCATTCGGAAAACAAAAGTTATGAAAGGTCGAATTGGGCGATTGAAATTCGAAAAGGGTTCTCTATTGTCATTTGTCACCTAGAGAAGCAGCTGATGATTACACACATAATCCTAGTTTAATATGATCGGAAAAAATTTGAAGCATTGCTCTCTAAAGGTACCTTTTAAAAGCATAAAAATCTTTCCCCTTCTATCAATTACTCCTATGTATTCCCTCCGTCCTATAATTATTGTCCAATTTAAGTTTTCATTTCTAGTTCAAATTGTACTAAAAGTAAAATCTCAAACTGGACAATAATTTTGAGACAGAGAGAGTACTTATAATGTTAAGATTCAAAAATGAACCAAGATCGAAATGCGAAATGCGGTCTAGGATGATCTTCCAAGCCAGGGCCAACCCAAAACATTAATTGTAGCTATAAATTTTGGAAAAAGAAATAATTAAAAAAAAAGAAGAAAATCACAGCATGCTTCTTTCCTGGTAGCTCAATGATAAACTCATGAGCTTTTTGAGGTTTCCAGATATTAAAATGACATTAAGAGAATAGATCTACGAACAAATTCAGAGTTTTTGATAAAAAAAAAATGGCTTAGAAATAAGAGTAGAGAGAAATATAAGTCAATTTTGGAGAAGAGAAAAATAGCGAAATCAGATTCATAAAAAGGAGACCAATAAATCTCTCTACTCCTTTTTCTAGACAATTTTTAACCAATCCACCCAAGAAATCCAACTCTAATGTATGGTTTTTTTCCTTAAAAAGAGAGAAGCATTAAGTAACAGAGCCTTCCACGATATTGCGAGAGGGACGGAGGGATGATCCATGCATAACAATCAACATCAAATACCAAACACCACAAATAACAAATCCTAACTCTCCATTATTTAGGACTCCTTCAGTCCTGTCTCATAAACGTAATCAATTTTACTGAATTAAAACAATATAATAAGTAAATTATTTTTCTAAAAATAAAGGAAATAATTAATAGACTTACACAAATTGAAGTTCTCTCTGTCATCTTCTTAACAAACCATCACCAGTCACATATCAGGCTCGCATAAAAACTACATATTGCTAGCACATCTTCTAATTCATTTTAAATTAAAATAGTACTTATATTAAGTTTTTTTTTTTTTTTTTTAACGAAGGGAGTAATTAATAAAAATTACATAAGTTGGAGTTCTCTGTAATCTTCCAACTAGGGATTGAGACATTGAGTAATGATTACTGGTTAATCAACAAACCATCATTACTTAAGGATACAAGGCTCACAATGATAAATGCATAGTTAAACATCGCTAGAGATGTTGAGAATTGAACTATCTAGGTTTCTGGATCAAGGTCACATTTGCATTCTTCGCAATAACAAGCGTGAAAAACTCGCAGCCCAGAAAGTCCATTCCGGCTGCGACCCTCCTCGATCTTCGCCGGAAGATCCTGGTAATCCGGCAACTTTGGCACCGTTGAATACTTCAGAATCGACACATAAACTTCCTCAAGACTTGGCATCTTTGAAAATGATTCAACCACATCGTCCACATACGCCATGACCATTGAACGTCGAACCCTTAACACCTTCAATCTCGGCATTAAGTCGGTTATGGTGTGGAGAGTCGCCTTGTTGATCACGCAACAAGAAAACTCAAGGGTTCTTAAGTTCAAGCAATGAATGCCAACAATGTGGAAGATGGTTTCAGGAGGATGAAAATAGGTTGTAAACTCAATGGAAAGAGACTCCAAGTTTGGCCAGAATTGGAAAGCCTTTTTCAGCTCAACACTTGTTGTTTTATTTGGGAATGTGATAGCCAACTCTCGCAAATTCGGGCACCTATTTGTACACAGAATAGGCACAAAACATCAAATTTTACCAATTTTTGTTCACTAAGATAATCTCAATTAATAACATTGTCTAGAAAATTAAAGGGTTTCGCCGCGCCTTAATGTTAATTAATTTGTTGCTAATAAGAGAGAAAATTTCATCAAGAAATTGAGGTAGTCAAATAAATTTATGTACATACCTCTCATATGCATACTGCAAATCATTATCGCTGACTTGAAACTGGGCGTCAAACACCAATTTGGTCACGTTGCTTCCACCCAACTCCAAAGCACGTACATATGCAAGTGTAAGTTGCGGAAAGTTGTGCACTCCTGGTTTTGAAAGCTCCAAATATTGTCGCATTTTGCGAATGTCCAAGGTTTTGAATGACTCCATGTCCGAAGCGACTGCTGCTCGCCACGATTTGCACACTTCAGTTATAACTGTAAGTTTGTCCGTCAAACTTACCATTGAGATGATGTACAACAGTAGATCGAAAGGAAGGTCGGACCAATTCGATGTGCTTCTTGAGTTAGAAGTATTAGTCATGATGGTTGAAATCTTGTGGAGTCTGAAATTAATACGTTTCAGATGAATAAATATGTGGAACTAAAAGCCAGTAACGAAAATGCAGTATTCCTAAATTATAAACTGAAAAAATAATTACACTAAAAACTCTTCGTACCAAGGGAAAAAAAATAAGAAGAAAAATCACAAGCGTTGTGGAAAGAAAATATAATTTATAATTTAATTTTTTTATTAACACTTGACAAGTGTAAGACGAAGAAGACGACATACCAGAACTTGAGAGGCAAAAGATTATATCTAAAAGCTTCGGCTTGAAAAGAAGAGGAACACACGGGTTCTATATATATAGCAAATGAAATGAAAAATGACATTGATTAGGTATAGAAATTTGATTCGTTGAATGTGTTATTGTTGAATTATTGACAAAATTTACCATTACTTTTTCGTTAATAAATTTTCCATTTACAACCAAACATTCATTATAATGATGAATATATAGCTGAATAATTAATCAAAAAAGGATACAATTGAAAATAATCTAAGAGATTAATCAAATACCCCCGATTCACATTGAATTTTAAAAAGAAGGGGGATTGAACCAAAAACTTTCCCTGAGTATACGAGAATGAAATGACTTGAACCGATGCCACTCTTATGGAACTCATTTGTCCAAGGAAAGAGAACCTATGCAGTGTAAACGCGGAACTATTTAATCGTATCAACCTGAATAAACCGCATTTATTAATACTCAAAAAAAAAAAATGAACGACCCAATTAATGAAAAATGGAAAATTTGCTTTAAGTTAACAAGATTTTTTTTTTAAAAAAATTAATTTGTACGATTAATCAGTGTCATAATAAAAAAAAAAACAAAAAACTAGTAGTATTACAGTATCTGTCGCGGCCCTGTTTAGTTTTTATGCAACATAGTAAGCAGTATCACTTCTTCATTGATAAGAGATTAAAATAAGCTTTTTGTTCAAGTTCTTGGTATTTTTATACATCTCTGGTAATACATGATTTTTTTAGCTTTTGTGTTCATTCGCCTAAAATATAAATATAACTTGTAATAAGAGAACACAACTAAAATTTATAAAACATGTAAATTAAAAAGAATAAAAACTAGAATTCAAGAGAAAATTTTGATCAAGTCAAGGTGTAATTTGCTAAAATTTGAGCGAAAAAATTTTGTTAATTCACATTGACAAAGTATTTTAAAACAATGTAAGATAGATGATTTGGAAAGACCAATTGTTAAAGTACACAATGTGAAAACTCTTTGTTCTTAGGGTGCATAAAGTTAATTTCCTCACTCAATTAAATATAAAAAAATTTATTTCACACTGAGACCCGATAAATATTTAGAATTCTCTTAATAATAAATATTAAATTAAATTGAGTCATTTTATTCAAGTATATCATTCATACAAAACCAAAAGAAATAAAATAAAAATGACAGTAATGAATCTTGCAACTCCATTTTGTAATAGACAAAATTTTAGCTGATCAAAGATGTTATTCTCAGAATTTTCCATTTTCATTTTGTGTCTACATAAATTAGTTTCATAGATGTTTCTTTTCTTCTTCTTATTTTGTTTTTTCTAATTTCTACCAAATACTAGCTAGTTAAGTTTGTGTTGATACTAACAAGCAAAAATGATCATTATCTGATTTCTTTTCAAGAATAATTTTACTATTGGGAATTTCTCCTCAAATGCATTGACCACAAGAAAGCACCATTAGCATCTGGGCACATTTTGAAGGAAAGGGTCCTAAACTTCTTAAAATGCTAATCAACAGTTGAAAGGTTTCACAAGTTTATCAACCATGGCAGGATCATGTATTTCATTGGACTAATTGTAAATAGCCACTTTTGTTCCTACCACTTTTTTTACCATGTTTTTGAAATTTATTTGTTCGCCTTTTAATCAACAACCGCTTGAATTCTTAACTTATACATTCGAATTTAAGACTCGTTAAATATTTAAAATTTTTCTTTACCTCGTCATTTTATATTTCTTAGTCCCTAGATATTATGGATGATGACAATAACTATCAGCGGTGTTCGGTACTTTTTTGCGGTTGCTATTTATCTTCTTGTTAGAGTGAATTTTTCTTTATTTAATTATTATTCTTGTGATGTGATTTGTTAGCTATAAGTGCGGTCACAAACATATTTTTCACATTATAAAAATTAAGTTACAGTAACAACAATACTCCTATGATGATCTTACTTAAACGAAAAAGATTCTATGTGAAGTAAAATCTCTATAAATCAATAATTTTGATAAACGAATAATGTTTCGGTTCCAACTTGAGATCAATACAAAATACGAACTCATAATAATTAATAATTCTTCAAGAAATTTCGATGTAAACATAAGACCCCAACAACCTCTTAAATTATCAATTACGTATCTAAAATAACTTTAGAAGATTTTGTCGATTCACTTTTTCCGTTGGAAAAACATATATATTTCATCATTATAAAAAATTATTTATTTTTACCATAATAAAAAATTATTGTATCTCTCAAATTGCAATTTATTGTTTTAAAAAAATTTGAATAATATCTTCTGATAATAAGTTAATAAATTTTTTGTCAATAATAATAACATTATTATTATTATTTTTTTGTTTCCCGCAATTTCCTAATAACTTCCTCCATTCCAGACGTCAGAAGTCACCGGCCGTCAATTCTCCACTGCCTTAAGTTTCCTTTACTTTCCTTTCCCCCTTTTCCCTCTCTCCATTATGTAATTATAGACTGTACAGTGTAGTCTAATTCAACTCTTTTAACTCCTCCTCCACCACCACCGCCGCCGGGAAGCGACAACAGAAACCGAACCCCAAAGAAAAGAAAAACACGCAGTCACGCACTGACGGAGCAATTCTTGATTTTCCACCTCTCTCTCTCTCTCTCAATTATCCTCCAATTTTATAGAGAGAGAAAGCTGAGGGACACAAAATGAAGCACATTTTTAAGAAGCTTCATCACCATCCAAATCGATCGAACGAGACCTCTTCCCAGCCCTCTCTCTCGTCCGCCGCAACGTCAAGTTCAACTTCTGCTTCTTCGTCGTCATCATCGGCGTCATCTGCTGTCTCCGATCACCGGAGTTCAACTCCATCCGGCAATTCAGTTGCTGTGGCGACGGCGACGGCTACGACTGCTGGTTCGACTGCAATTGGTGCTACGACGACTACTGCCGCTACTTCTCCCACTACTAACCGGCAGCAGCTTCAGCAGCGGGATTATTATACCTCACAAGAGGATTATGAGATGGAGCTAGCGCTGGCGTTGAGTGTTTCCGCTTCGTCCGCTCAAGATTCTAGTCTTTTGGAGGCGGGTGGCGATCATCGTCATCAGATTCTACTCGGAGGTCGCCTCGGGGATACCTCTAGCCACAGGGACGATGCTGCTGCGGACTTGTTGTCGAGGCAGTATTGGGTTAGATTTTTAAAGCCTGACTTTTTTATACTCGCTTCAAATTTTCTCTAGGACTGTTTTTTGTGGATGTTGTTATTGTCCCAGTTCACCTGATTTTTCGATTTCGTCTGAAATAAAATGATTTGCAGAAAAGTAGAAACTGAACTTTAGCAGTGAAAGATGGCAATTTATAGACAAATTTGTAATCGTTGAGTACCTCAGAATGGGGAGTTCATTTTATGCATATAACCTCATGCGTATATTCTGGTATCTAATACAGTTTAGACTTTCTGCTCTCCCGTAAATTACATGGTTCCACATTGGTGGATAGACAACACTGTGTCATAGTTTTAATGAGTTAATGGAGGGAAAGAACTTAGATGGTTAGTTAGTGGCACCATAGTTGCATTTACTACCGTATTTGTTGGCGCGTACATCTAAGCATGATCAATCCCTCACTAGTCTTTACCCCAAGATTAGTTTGGTTTACTCTGAGTTATACAAGAGAAAAAGATCTGACTTCGTGGAGTCACATTGGCACTTTCCTTCTGCATGTGGAGCTCGCTGGTTAGAAACCTCCTTAGGGAAGTCTAATAATTAAGTGAATTGGGAGTAAAATGGGAAGTTGGAGTGCTCCATTTTGGGTGTATGAATTCGAAATTTAACATATTTGCCCAACTTTGTTGGAGAAATAGCAGATAGTTTCTAATTAATTGTTAATCATGGTGGGTGTTGAGGTGTGGCTTTATTTGCAAGGGAATGTGATGGCCTGGTTTCTGATGATTAGATGATGAAGGGAATCTAGTGTATTGTTCATTAAAAGATTTCTTAATTATGTAGTGCTCTGTTTGGTTTCTGTGGGTTTCAATTTTGTTACTGTTGATGGTAGACGTTGCACCTGCTATTTTTAATGATCAGTTTGCAGGCCTTCTTAAGTTTGCAGTGTGTATATTCAGATTTGTTAACCTTCTATGAAATAAAAGGTTAAGAAAATTGAGTTGGCAAAATTGATTTGTATTGTTAACTGCATGAGGAGTTATCTGTTCGAAACTCTATTGATAGATAGCTCTATCCTTTTGTTTCGTGACTTTGCATATAAAGATTGTTTCTTATGCAAATTGAATCTTTGTGGTCTATTCAGTTAATAGGAAGTTTCCAAGACTAATGCTAACTGATCTACTATACTAAATTTTTAATAGAAAGTAATGCATATTTTATATTAGTCAAGATTCAAGAATAAATTTGTTTTTCTTCATTATTGTGGGTAGCGTCATTGGGACGATCCCCTGTGCGCAACATTGCACTGTCGTTTATGTAACATTTATCGAAAATATGTATGAATCGAATTTCAGGCTGATTTTGCAGATTAGTAATGTTCGTAATGGCTAGAGAATTTGTAGTTGCTTTCAGTTTTTGTGATAAGAAAGATTGATTTAGATGATGTCCTTTATCTGCTATCTAGTAATACAGTGTCTAACTTGGTTCTTGAGCTAATGTTGTTGGGTGTTTACTTTTTCATTGAGAAATGACCATCACTTAAGAGCAGTTCATATGACCTTTCAGATTCTCCCAATTATGCTAATTGTTTGTCTGCATTAAAGTCTTTTGTATTTCTTTACTTTGTGTAATATTAAAACTGATACGTATATTCCATGCGTGAAAGTACCTTGAGAGTACCATGGTTCTAAGTGATCAGGATAAACATATTGAAGTATGCTTGTTGTGGTCCGTTCCTCTTTTATTGTATTTATATTGTTTCAATTAAACCCCAGTTTTATTAGTTACTAGTCTAGGATGTGGTTAGAGGACTCCACTAGACTAGGAGATATATGAATTGTGCTTGTCGGATGTTTTTGTGACTTATTATCACAAAAGCGCACACAAGAAGGCTAAACAAGAAATGCAGAAAGATGAATTATGACATGCAAATGCTTCTCTTTTTAACTCTATATTTATTGGAAATGAAGTTAAAATTAATATCTTTTTTTTTTTTTTTGGGTACAATTAAAATTAATATCTCATTAAGCAATATATTCACCAAGAAAATCATACTTATTGGCGTCTTCTGTTTTCACTTTGCTCTCTCAATGCCAGGATTACAGTGTTCTTGACTATGGCGAAAAAGTTGTGGAAGGTTTCTATGACGTTTTTAGTCTCTCCATGGACCCATCGATTAGAGGGAGAATGCCATCTCTTACTGACATTGAGGCAAACCCTGGTGGGTCTGATTTTGAAGTTGTTATAGTCAATTGGACGATTGACCCAGATTTGCAAGAGTTAATACATGTAGCACAATGTATTAAATTAGATTACCCAACTACTAATATTGGTCTGCTGGTGCAAAGAGTTGCCGAACTTGTTACTGATCACATGGGTGGGCCTGTGAAGGATGCAAATGTGTTTCAGGCAAGATGGATGGAAAGAAGTACAGATTTAAGGATATCCCTGCACACTGCTGTACTTCCTCTGGGATCATTAAGACTTGGGCTATCACGTCATAGAGCATTGCTATTTAAGGTTGAAGCTAAACTATATCAGTGTACTCACTATAACATTTGCTAGACAATGTTTTGAAGTCTTACAGATGTGCTTACATGGTTATTAAATATCTCATATAGAACTTTTTAATGTAATAGTTATGGGTTGGTTGAATGCAGGTGTTAGCTGACAATATTGGAATTCCTTGTCGATTGGTGAAAGGCAGCCACTACACTGGAATTGAAGATGATGCTGTGAACATCATAAAGTTACCAGATGAAAGGTAAAAGCCGTGGTCTCTTTAAGTGGATTTTTTCTGCGTGGATTTTTGCTTCATTGATGTTGTGATGTGGCCTCCACTTTTCAGCGTCTAAGTCTCTTTTTTGTTCAGCGAATTCTTAGTTGATCTAATGGGAGAACCAGGGGCGTTAATACCTGCTGACGTTTTGAGTGCAAAAGATACATCTCTCAAGTCTTATGATCCAAAACTAAGCAAAGTTCCCAGTCTTCCAGTAGGCAGTGATTCCGGAACGACTAAGATATCTTCTGGGCCTAGTTCTACAGAGCAAAAGAATTACTCATCAGGAAAAGAGTTAAAGACAGATTCACTTCCTTCTCTGCCCGATGAAATTTCCATACCTGATAGCACCTCTGGAGTGGGTCAAAGGGTACCTTTGGCAAACCAGATGGACCATCTCCCGTCCTTAGCGTTAGGAAAATCTTTTTACAAAGGTGGCCGTAGGCCCAATGTAGCTGCAGATGGTGGTAGGATGAATGTTCACGTAGCTCAGAAGAGACCAGACAACTCTGAGGATCCAAAAGATCTTTTTGCCGATCTAAACCCGTTTCTAATCAAAGGATCTGGCAAGGTTTCAGTGCAAGGCAACAAGGCCAGGAAAAATTTTGATGGATTACAGCAGCCTTGGCATACCCTCGCTGTGGGTCAGCCTCCTGTACCTATTGTGGGAGAAAATAGTGCCATCAGCAATCCAGTCCCCAAGAAAAATGAGTATGCGTTTTCACAAAGCTCCTTTGCAAAGAGCAGCCATGCAAATGACGACCCAAGTAGATTGTCATTACCTTCTACTAGCTCCAATGCCCCTGGAAAAGCTATCTCTAACTCCAATTTTTACAGTAACTCATACAATCCTTTCGGAGATGGTCAAAATGCTTCTGGGGGTGATAATCTGGCATCAATTGATGGAAGATTTAATGATTTATTTTTAGAGGATCACAGTGAAAGACATCAGAAGGATGGAAAGATCCAGCAAATTTCTGAACTGAATGGTACAAATGGTGATGGGAAAAATATCAACAGAATGCTTGAGGAGAAAAATAATAAGCAAGAGATGACTCTTGCAGATTCACGACTCGGTCATCAAGACAAAGCTAGCTCTTCTATTAAATCAGGGTTGCCTCATGTTGATCCAGTCATTGATGATGTCAGTGAATGTGAAATTCCATGGGAAGACCTTGTAATTGGTGAAAGAATTGGTCTAGGTAATGCGTGGGACTGGAAATTTTAGATTTCACATTTATTTGTTAACAACAATCTGCATTATAACTTGGCAAATTACTTGTCTAACTTTTTGAATATTGAATTTCAAATAGGTTCCTATGGGGAAGTTTACCATGCTGATTGGAATGGAACTGTAAGCCATCCCTTCCAATTTTAAATCTTTATATATGCTGCTTTAGAAATGATTGTACTGCATCCATAAATTTTTCCATAGTATTTATAGCGAATGGAGCTAGTAGTTCTTTTAATGTGATTGAACTTAGAGACCGCCTATACTGTGTGTGTAGGGTTATGCTTCCGCTCTTATTTTACTTAAATTCATGGCCATTTTCAGAATTACTGCCTTAAAGAATTTAGTGTGAAAGTTAATGTAAAATGTGCCAATGTCGGAAATTGGATGCCAATTTTGGGTCAATCTGTTGACCTCATTTTGATCTGCTCATTCCTTTGATCTGATGTTATTCTGTTCTATGCGCATAAATAGATATCAACTAGCACCTTTGGGAAGCGGCCATTTCGTCCATCTTTAGTAGCAAGTGCACTTCTTAGTTTAAGAGTTGAATACTCTCACCATATTAGAGACTTGTGCCCTTTCAAGCTTCACGATTAGTGTTCTATTGTCCAAACCCATGTAGACTAGATTGGTTCATAAGTGGCTTAGTAATGTGCTTCAATGAATACTAGTATCCCCAGCTCTATGTCTCTTGATGTGGGTGATCAAATAATGTAAGGTTAGAAGCTAATTGATCACCACACAAGCAAATTAAGAAGATATCTAAACAAAGTTGTGGTACACCGTGTTACGTTAATAGAGTTGCTCCTAGATCATTAAGATTTCCTATTGTCCCTGTAAGATAGCTATTGTTGCTCACTTCTAATGGAGTCTACGTTGTACATAAAGTGCAAGGCCCGTGCTGAAGTTTGGTTTCTTTACAATAGTTGATTACTAGATGCATAAACTTTCATTTAGTTGTTAAATCCTCTATGCCCAAAAGCTTATGAATTAACTGTTCACTGATGATTATTTGTCTGGAACAGGAAGTTGCCGTGAAAAAGTTTCTTGATCAGGATTTCTCAGGTGCTGCTTTGGATGAGTTTAGGCGAGAAGTAAGAATCTAAGACCATATGGCTGCATGTTTTTCCTCGTTCTCACTAGATATGTGCAGGCATATGTGTGCACCTACATCATTATGCCTATGCCAACAATAACATAGGCATAATAACATAGTATTGTTGGCATAGGCATAATGATGTAGGTGCAACATAGTATTGTTGGCATAGGCATATATATATGGACACATATCACGTCCTTGCATGTTCTTTCCTGTAAGTGCATTCTATCTATGGACATAGGAACATACATATACGAAAACTGACGGAAAATTAGAGAACATAAAAACAAAATTAGCATACATGAAAACTGAACAATAGCATCTAGCCTTTTTCCCTTCTTTGTGGGATCGGTTACATTGATCATATGTTGCAATTGTTCGCTGTTAAGACCCATTTTTTCATTTGAATTTGATTAACTCATATCTTTCTTCACAGTTTCCTTTGTAATGGACAACTAATGTTAGCAAATATGGGAAAAAAAAAGTACACAACTCGGAGGAGAAAAATCATCATACGTTATGAGTCCTACAACAGAATGCTTGACTGTCTTATACCAGCCTAAAACTAATTATAGCAGGAAATGATGTCTCATAACATAGTTTTAGAGCTAATGCATGCTAGTGAGTAGTGAAGAAACTTTGGTAGTGAAGCAATGATGAAATGACATAGCCTCTTTTGTGATCAAACATGGTAGTATGTTATAAATTTATTGCAGAGTGACATATTGTGTTTCAATAAACTCATTGATCCATTATTTCTTTATATCTGGGTATTAGGCTACCTTTTTATTTGTCAAGTATTGATTTTATCATTATTTGTTTCAATCCAATTCCAGTACTCAGGAATAAAGTTAAGTTTTACTTTTTTCTTGGGAGTATTTAGCATTTCTTATAGGGATCATCCATTATTTCTGTATTGCAGGTGCGCATAATGCAGAGGTTACGCCATCCAAATGTAGTTCTTTTTATGGGTGCTGTTACTCGGCCTCCGAACCTCTCCATTGTCACTGAGTTTCTACCCAGGTGTGTTTTATTCTTGATTTTCTTGATGCTTTCCTATCATTTATAGTTATTCTTGATGAGCATGTTATTACGTATTTTTAGACCATGAGTTTGCGCATATTCAGCATGCTAAATTGACATGAGGAGAATGTATAAACTTGTAGCTCTGTTTTACTGGTACAACATTGTTTCTACCCCTGATTCAACTTGATTATGTTATCCGGAGCTATGCTTTTATTGTTCGGAGCATCTAATAGTGTAAGGTCAGGGGATTTGGTGCTGATTAGAAATTTGCCGTATAGTGACGAATAACTTTCTAGTGGTTCTTGCTACCAAAAGAGAAAACCAAGGAGAGAAGACGTGTGCGCTTACGGGGTGGGGGTGGGGAGGCAGATTGAGAAAAACTCGAAGTTTGTCAAAAACTTCTATTTCAGTTTGGAATTGATGGCTGTGCTGGAATCATGTTTTCCAGTTTGAGATGGATATCTTTTGAATATTTAATTGAGTCTATTGGCTATAAGCGTTGGAAGGTGTAAATCCTACTGGTGTGTCCTTCAAACACTTGGTTAATGATACATTTTGATGGGTGTATGAATTTGTTGTTGTTCGATAAATGGAGATTGGCATTCTTGTTTGTTCGAGTTATTTTGCCAAAGCACCAAATAACTGGAAAAGTTTGTTTTTTTTTTTTCTCTTTTCTTTGCGATCTGAATTCTTAGAAACTCTAGTGTGAAGAATTATTACTTGAAATTTGTTGCAAATTTCCAGAATTGATGCAGGATTATGGTTTTTTTTAGTATCTTGTAGAGTGTTGAGGTCTTCCCTCATCGTTAATCAGTTAATTGGGTTGCATGATGAGTATTATATTTTTAAAAAGCTAGTTACTGGTTCCTTGCCTGCTTCTTGGGAAAGTGCTTTCCTTTATTTTACCGAATACGTTGTGCTTGGAATTTGGCCCCACCCCCTATCCCCTCCGCTGGGGGTTTCTTAAGTTTACTTAATAGATATTTGGCTCGGTCAAGAAGATAGTATGAGTAGAATGTCTCATACAGTAATGTCTTGGTGCCAGCATTCAAATAAAGCAGTATTCTTACGAAGATTGTCAGTCTGTCTTTAGTTGGCATACACTGTATTGGGATTTAGAATTGCTGATCTTATTAATGAGTTATTTTAACAAATCGGAGTTCGTTCTTGTTGGATGAATATTACTAGACCTCAGCTGCCAAAAAGTTAAATCTTATTCCTTAGCTGTTTGTACCTTATGAAAGCTACTTCATGGCTCTATGTTCTTCTTATTCCTTCATCGAAAATGGTGACTGATATCACAATTCTCTGTATTCCTCAGAGGAAGCTTATACCGGATAATTCACCGTCCTCAGTGTCAGATTGATGAAAAGAGGAGAATTAAGATGGCTCTAGATGTGGTATGAGTTTAATGTATGATGTTTTGGCATGGTTTGCCGTTCAATTTGCTTGTAATGGATTTCTGGATATTTTTCTTTTTTTTTTAGGCAAAAGGCATGAACTGCTTGCACACAAGTATACCTACAATTGTTCATCGTGACCTGAAGTCTCCAAATTTGTTGGTCGACAAGAATTGGAATGTAAAGGTATGTGCTCTTTGTTCAAAACAATAGTGTCACTGTTACCAGTAAAACACACCACCTGTATGGGCTTGGTGTTTCAAACTGTCTTTTTCTGGAATGATTCCTCTATAAGCTTTGTTCACTGACTCAGTAGTAATAGAATAGAATGAATACCGTTCTCTTGATAACAGTAAGATTTTTGCATCCGTAATAGGCACGATAGATGAGATAAGTAGAAGAAGGTTTTCAGTTAGTTATTTATTTTCTCTTAACGTTTTTAGAATTTCTGTGCATGGGATTTTAAGTGCTTTCGGAAGGGTAAAGGGATAAATTTGTAACACATGCTTGATTCATTTTGGCATTAGCAATTTTTGATATCACGTATTCCTTTTCTTTAATATCTTTTTCATATGCTTCTCAGGTGGCTGATTTTGGGTTGTCTCGCTTGAAGCACAATACATTCTTGTCGTCCAAGTCGACAGCTGGGACGGTAGGATTACTTTGTTTTGTGGTTTTGTAGCAATAAATACTAGAACATTGGTCCCTTATCTTTCTTTGACAAATTTCTTTCCAATCCTGTAGCCGGAGTGGATGGCACCGGAAGTTCTAAGAAACGAGCCTTCAAACGAGAAGTGAGTTAAGTTTACGTTTTAAATTATAGTTGCGACCGATCTATAAAATGAATGTGCAGTATAAGCTCAACCCAGAACTCTTTTATCTGTTCTTTTGCCTTTTGTTGTGTGTGGGGGGAGGGGGGGGGGATTATTTATAATATTAATCAGCCATTATTTAAAGCGGAAGAAGCATTTTAGAATGAACTGGACAAAAGTGGATGAAGCCATCAAGTTTCAATTATCTAATTAACAATCTGTATGGTATCTACGACGTAATCTGTACCTGGATTACTGTTATTCTAATTGATTTTTTTTTTTTTTTTCCCATACAGGTGTGATGTGTATAGTTTTGGAATAATTTTGTGGGAATTAGCAACCTTGAGATTACCTTGGAGCGGGATGAACCCAATGCAGGTTGTTGGTGCAGTGGGCTTTCAAAATCGCCGTCCTGAAATACCAAAGGAAGTTGATCCTCTCGTTGCCAGAATAATATGGGAATGTTGGCAAACGTGAGTTGTGCGAAAGCTTGATCAATGCATCTTTACTTGTGTTTCTAAATCATCAAGTGACCTTGTTTATCTGAATTTCTTCTTATCTAGGGATCCAAATCTACGGCCATCATTTGCGCAGCTCACTGTTGCATTGAAGTCATTGCAGAGGCTTGTTATCCCATCACATGTAGATCAGCCAAACTCACCACCAATGCCTCAGGAGATCTCAGTGAATTCAACTCCTTAGGCGTGTCAAATCCTCAAATGTGAATATGTGTTTGCATAGGATATACAGTGGCAAGAACACCATGTTAAAAAGAGAATTTTGGATTGAGTAGCCCCGATTAAAAGAAGAGCTGCGGGAGCTGCTTCCATTTGTGCATCAAAGTTAGTGGTTTAGCTCAAAACTCGAAAGAGAAAATGAGATGGTGTGTGTATATTTCGCTGCATCACAAAACTTGATGCAGCTCTCCCTCTGCTGTGAGTTGTGTATATATATATATGCTTGATCCCCATTGTCTGTATCTATGTATTTATTCGCATGTAGCTTTCCTTCGTGCATGTTTGTGAAGGGGAAATTGCGACTGGAGTGGCAACAACTTAAAACTTGACCTCTGTTGAAGTTGGTTTGTATCTCCATCTAAGAACTGGCCAATATCCAAGGTCTTTGCCTAAATTCACTTGAAGTTGTGCTGAGGCAGCTTTTGCTGATCCAGTTAAAAGCTATACACTAGGTAGAGTTACCAATAATTTTCTTATCAAGTGAAAAAGGAGATGGGATCTCTGAGATGTTAAGTACCATGGTTTTGGTTGCGTTCATTGCAAACGGAATTCAGTTAGCGGCTAAAGTTCAAAAAAAAACATATAAAATTCTGGTACTTAAATACTTTTTTTTTTTTTTAAACAACCTAAATATAAATATAGTAGATTTGACATGTTATTCTAAAAAGAAGTTAATGTATACTTGCAAAAAAGAAGAGAAATTTGCTCAATTATAACGATGAATATGTTGGATTCTGTGGTCGAAAAATACGAGAAATATTGAATCTCTAACACATGTATCAATGTCTTTTTCTCAGCGCAAATGAGTTCTGTCCTTGAGGATTCAGAACAAATGGCAGATTCCAGGGTAAAAAAGGGAAGCTTAGCATCCATATTACGATCGAAGTTGAAACAGCCGGGTGCTTTGGATAAAAAATTGTCTAGAAAAAGGAATAGAGAGATCTATAGGTCTCTTTTTTTTTGTAATGAAAAATACGGAGATCAGATTTACAAAATCCGATTTACTAATTAAATTACTAAATCGAATTTTGTATCCGATCTAATAAAATAATATTTTTTTCTGGAAAATACATGTGAAAATAATTGAAATAACGGTCAAATAATGAACAGTATAAGGTATGATTTTCAGTTTTTTAACAAAAAATAAATTATAGGTGGGAGATTTGAAAATTATGAACAGTACAGGGTCGGATTCCTGAAGTTCGACTGTATTTAAGCATACCAACCGGTAGATATTTACATTTAATGGAGGTAATTGGCGGACAAAAGGTTGGAGTTAATAAATCCGAATTTAGTTGTAGGTTGGATTTTCAAAATCCGACCTTTCTTATAAACTCGGATTTCACAAATCCGACATTTATGTGATATAATGGGGAAATGAAAAACACTATTCACAGATCGGGATTTTTCATTTCTCTTGAAGGAGGAGGCAATTTTGGTGGCGATTTGAGATTTTGTTCACGATTCTTCGCAACGGATGTCTTAAATCCATTTCACAAGAAGGTTAGTTATTATTTTGTTGTTTTTAGATTATTGTTGCTGTTTTATTTTTTTTTATTTTTTATTTTTTGTAGAAGTGTAGAACTAGGAATGTTTATAAGATTTTAGGGTTGATGTTGGGTCTAGTTGGTGATTATTGTTGTTGTATACGTGGTATTGAACGTTTCATTCAGTAAAATGTTTGAATTTGCCCTCAACTTTTGAATTTGTAGGGGGTTTAGTAAATTTAGGTGTTGATTGTGCCTTGTTTGTGGTATTTGTTATAATAATTTATTTGATTATGCCTTGTTTGAGTATTTTTGGTAATAATTTGTTCACAAATGTGCTTTAATTCATGTAATCAACAGATATAAATGGTGTTTAACGGTCCACATTCATTAATGTCTATTGGTCGAGCAAATTTGTTGTGAACAATGAGATTGTGAATACTTTTAACAACTTACCGGACGATTCCATTGTGATTGATCATAAGGTGTCATTCTATGATTTGGTTGGATTGATTTGTGAAAGAACTGGGTGGAATAGAGGGAATGTGAATTCAAGTCTCTCAATTTTTTATGATACGATGGGCAATGGTCTTAGGTGTATCGCCAAAATCAAGGACGACGCATCGTTGTGAGTCTTGTAGTTCCTTCCAAATACGACATATATTGATTTGTATGTGGATTTGGAGGTGACGGGTACTTCTAGGTCTCATTTGGAAGCAGGGACAAGTAGTGGTGGGGCCGAATATTGAGAATGACGATTATATAAAAGATGATGATATCGGTGGACCGAATATGGAGGATGGCAATCACATGGAAGATGATCACGTGGAAGATGATGAATTCGATGATGGGGACTACACAGCAATAAGTGAACAAAGTGATGAAGACCAACCAATATCCGAAGGGAGTCAGGAGAGTGATGAAGAGGTTGAAGACAAATTCGCCACAAATGACAGGCACATATATCGTTCACAGGGTAAATGTGATCATACAAAAGTGGACAGGGATGAATTTCAGCTTACTATGTAGGATGAGACAACCGCAACAATCGGGAAAGGGACGTGTTTTAAGAACAAGATCTATGCAAAAAATGGTATAGGAGCGTGAAACATAGAGCAAACAAGAGAGTATTATGCGAAGGAAAGTGACAGAAATACATGGTATATTTGGTGCAAATCCCTAAAAGAGTCAACCTCTAAGGGTTATGTTCCTTGTCGTTGGAAGGTACATGCCTCCTTGAAAGACCATGGTTTGTGGGAGATTGTGACATGGATGTCCAAGCACAATTGTATGAATACCACCGCGGAAAACAATAATCGAAATGTGAGCGCAACACTTATTGCTCATCTCATAAGAAATAAGGTTGAGTTGGACCTGGATTATGAAGCAAAACTCGTTCAGGAAGAAGTGAAAGAATGTATACATGTCGATGTTCCTTAACACAGGGCATGGAAAGGAAGGAGAAAAGCTATTGATCTTGTTTACAGCGACTGGGTTTCCAATTTTGACATACTTCCAAGGTATTTACTTAAGTCCTATCTAATTTATTTGATTTGTTTGTAATTTTCTTTTAAAATAAACATTAATTTATTTTTTAAATTTATGTTTTTCGCCGCCCTTGTGAAGAACAACCCCGGCACAGTTGTAGAGTGGGAATGGCAGCTGGGTTGGACCAATACAGAAAGGACGTTCAAATACGCTTTTTTGGGCATTCAAGCCTGCAATTGGTTGTTTTGCCAAATGTTCTCCAGTGATTAGTATTAACGGGACGCACTTGCGTGGCGGATACAAAGGGAAGTTACTCGCTGCAATGGTCAAAATTGCGAATAAGCGCATCTTGCCAATTGCATATGCGATCGTGAATGAAGAGAGTGAGGGAAGTTGGACATTCTTCTTGAAGCAATTGAGGAATCAAGTTATAAACAACCGTCCTGTGTGTGTTATATCCGATCGGCACAAGGGTATCATCAGTGAAATAAGTCTAACGCCCGAATGGAACCGGTTTTGCCTTCGTCACGTCCGGAGTAACTTGGTGGCTCGGTTTCAAAGTAGAAAAATCAAGAGGTTGTGTTGGGACATGGGCTCCAAACTTTCAAAGACTAAATTCAAAGAACTAAGGCAAGAGCTACGTGACTTTGGTAATGAAGCATATTTGTATCTCGAGGAGATTGATGCTTGCCAGTGGATGCTTGCAAAAGACAAACACTATCGTTGGAATAACCAAAACATTTCAGAGAGTTACAACAATGTCCTCAAGGGTGTTCGTTTCTTGCCGATCCGAACTTTGGTGGTAGCCATGTTTTTGAAGACTGTGGATTTGTTCCAGGAAGAATACGTAGCATCGAGGAAATGCATTACACTCCTCCCAACCGACTTGTGGGAAGACTTCTTGAAAAAAGAGAACAAAGCCGCGCAACACAAAGTCAAGCGTTACGCTGCGGTTAATGAGAAGTTCAAGGTGAAAAGTAAAAGCCAACTTGGTAATAAAGGTGGTAATAATTAATCCATAAAGTACCATAACATGGACCGCTATATTCATTGACCACCATTAGTTCAAAAATAATTTATTCCTCACCATAAGTTGCAATTCCGTCCTTCTCCACTTTTCACTCTTTTTTCCATAAAAAAACTAACGGTGCATAACTTGCACATGGTTATTTGTAAGGGGCATTTTTGTCCTTTCATATGTGCACCTGCAAGTCAATGACCCGTTGACCCGTGGGTTTAATTCCCATTTACTATTTATGCGGGTTTAATTTTTATTTACTAATTAGTAGTATTTAGTACAACAAATAATAAATTGGTAAATAAAATCACCAAAATTTACTCAAAAAATCCACGGGTCATTTGTCCACCCACCATCAATCGCTCCCACCCAAGCAGCCACCTACCTCCATCACCAAAACGATACCTACTGCCGCCGCCACCTTCATCCCTTCGCCCTCTATATGTTATTTTCTTTTTCTCGTCAAAATTTGCCCGCCACCACCTCTTTTTCTTATTTTCTTCCATCATATATAGGAATCCAAAGGATAGCACTTTAGCCTTTTAGTCTTCAGATATTTTGATTGGTGAAGTTTTAATTTTAAATTATAATTGTTAAGAATAATTTGATTGTACGAATTGGGAATGGATAAGAGTAAAGTGAAATATGATTGAGGGAGGAATCTAAGGAGGTAGAGGAAGAGGCAAGGGAGAGAAAGGTGATTGCGGGGCAGAGGGGTCACAGATTTAGAATTCTTGAATTGGGGTTAACTCTTTTCTGTTGGAAAGAACGGAGTGATCAGCAGTAGGAGGCTTGATAATAATCAATTTTACTACTTGGTGAAAGGACGGTGACCGACGGTCGATGTAGGGGCTGAAGAGGAAAAGAGGAGGAGGTAGGGGATGATGACGACGATGGCTGTTTTTTCTTTTTCTTTTTATAAGGAAGGAACAGCTGTGGTGGTTGGTGTGAAACCTGGGCTATTGGGGATGAAGAATCGGAAGCGACAGCGTTGTGGGGAGGAGGGAGAGGGAAAGGGAGGTTGGTGTGGTTGAGGAGATTCACCTTACCCTTTGGTTGTTGTTGAATCGACTCCACGACGTTGTCCATTAACTTCGGGGCATAGACGCCGGAATCAATTCCGTACCTGCCCAGCCTCCAATGCCGTCTGCCACTCCAATTGTCTTGTTCATCGCAAATAAAGAGGGCATCTTCGCCCAAAGCTGTCTTCTGCTGGTAATAAGGATCGGGTTTTGACCCAATCAATTTTTTTTTGTCTCATGTGCGATGCACGTGTCTCTATATTTATAAAATGACCGTCGGTGCCCTTTGCCAAAAGGCATGCGCCGTTACTTTTTTGGCGGAAAAAAGAGGAAAAGTGGTAAAAGACGAAATTGTAACTTATGGTGGGGGATAAATTGTTTTTGAACTTATAGTGGTGAACGAATATAACAGTCCAAGTTATGATACTTTATGGTTTAATTATTGTAAAGGTGGCAACGAGTACACTGTTAAATATGAAAAGAAGA